AAGGTATGCAATACAGTTGATCGTAAATAGCAGAAGTTGTGCTACTGAAACTTCTGGTGCAGACGATACATCTTGTGCCATGATTGTTGTCTTCTTTAGACTGATGATTAGCCCAAATTCATCAACAACTATCACAAAGCTATTGCAAAGTTTCTGGAGCTGCTCTGACAAGCACTGTGCTGTGAGCAAAAAGAAGTTCTCTTAACAGCAAGTGTTTGACTTTACTTTTTGCTCTTAGACATGCAATGTTGAAGAGTTTTCCATCTGATCTTGCACGTAAATGTACAACTTCAGTGCTAAATGAGAAAGTGTGATGAAGCAGCAGAAAGAAGAATACACAAAGAGTGCTGGTGCCAAAACACATCCCTGTTTGACACCGCTGCAGATTTTAGAGCCGTCAGATTGATCACCATCTTACTGGATTGTAGCCTTTATGCCATCATGGAAGGATTGAATCAGACTGAGGAGGACTTTGAGGGGCAGCCAGTTCTCTCTAGCAACTGGAAAAGTCCCTTTCTGCTGACCAGGTCAAAAGCCTTTGATATCTATGAAGGCCATACAGAGAAATTTTCCTTGTTCTTGACACTTTTCTTGCAATTGCCTTAGTTTGAAGACCATCTTGATAAGTGATCTATTGGCACGGAAGTAGCACTGACTCTCTGAATATTCATATTCAGCCAGAACTTTCAGTCTTTTGAGAATTACCTGTGCAAATGCCTTGCCCACAACATTAAGGAGAGAAATTCCTCTGTATTTGTTGCAGTCACTCCAATCTCCTTTGTTTTTGTACAGCATTATGATGTTGGCATCCTTCATATCTTGTGATGGCTTTTCAGTGGACTGCAGGGCATGCCAGAACCCGGGGCTTCAGCCCCGCAGGAGGCCTAGCAGAACTCAGGGCTTCAGCCCCGCTGGGACTTGTGCTGGGACTCCAGGCTTCAGCTTCGCCTGGAATGCTAGGGCTTGGGGCTTCAGCCCTTCTCAGGTGTGCTGGAGGTTGGGGCTTCAGCTGGGAGCTTCGGCTGAAGCCTGGAGCACAGCGCCTCCTGTGGGAATGAAGCCCCAAGCTCCAGTGCCCCCGGCATACCTGGCGGGGCTCTATTTAGAGATGGTGGGGGAATACCTGCCCTCCCTGTGTTACAAATCAGCCTGGAGCATCTGCCAGGGCTCCCGCTGTCAGCCCTGCAGGGGTAGAGCTCCATTTAGGGAGAGTAGCGGGAGGGGCACCTGCACCCTGAGTTACATGTCAGCCCAGGCGCCACCTGCCCCAAGCCTGCCAGCATGCAGCCAGTCACTCCTCTACCCGCACTAGCCCCACCCACACTAACTGCCCACAGCCCCCCAGAGTTTCATGGTCCGGTCAAAAGCCTCTGACAGTTTGGATTTGGCCCACGGTCCACCTATTGTCTACCTCTGCAATAGGCCCTGGGTATATTACACAGCATCATATGTGTTCATTAAACAGGGGCACTTGTGGTGTTAAAAATGTTTCTCTGGAATCCAGACCTTGACCGAAAAATCTGGAGCTTGACAAAAAATAATTGACTGCCCAAATCTATACACCAACCCACTTTTATAAAAGAGGTGAGTAGATACAATGTAATGAATATGGGTATTTGTGTAAGGAACAGCAACTCCCCACACATTTGTGAAACAAAAATATATTTGTAAAGAGCAAATAATAAAGAGATAATATACGCACGTGGTAGAAATGTTTAGAATTTAAACTAGCATTCTTGCAGCATTCAACCAGTGTGGACTGGTTTCCTGTGTATTTTTTTTCTTATTGCTGTTTTTAAACCCATCAGTATATCTATGTGTAATTATATAGGTCTCCATCTAACAGAGTTAATATCTATGTTAATCTGGATCATGCTTTCTGCTAGATCTTCTTTACTAACATATTACATAAAAGATTTTTAAAAAATTGTTTGGAGCCGTTTAGATGTTTACATTCCTTTACAATATGGCTAAAATTGTAATAAAGTAGGTTCCTCAGTGACTATGGTTTAGAAGTTCCAATATTTAACAAGGCTTACTTAATCCACTCAAAAGACAAAACACTTTTTTGTAAAAGTGTAAGGGAAAATTTTTCACGTCAGACCTGTGGTATATCTAGATTGGTGCTACTGCAATACAAATAATAATTTGCTGCTCCCTGTTACATACCCAAAGCTTGCACTGATATCAGTTTTGTTCCAGTATACAGAGAAATATTGAATATTGGGATCAAATTCTATCATATGGATCAGAGAGGAAGATTTTGCCTTAAAGTCCTTGCACAAGAGAAAAGCACCAGATGACAGCCAGATAACAATGACAGCATTGAGCATATGTTATTATCTGATTAATGAGCCACAGGGAAGAGTACAATAAGCAAATGAGATCTCATATTCCCCATAATAAAGACAGCAGTGGAGGTTTACAAGTAGCATTGCTCTCTTTTTTTCTCCCTTCAAATGCATCAGATTCAACCTCAAGACAGCATGGAGAATAAACAGCAGCAATTACTCTTAGGAAGGGAAACTAACCCAGCAACCGAAAACCAGTCCTTTGAGATGCTAAAAGAGCTAGCATTGAAGTGGTTTATGGAGACGCAGGTTCCTCTTATATTACAGAATGGTATTTTACCTGAGTGGTTCTATGGATTCATTACAAGAAAGTAAGACCGTCTATACCTTACAGTATAGCATAAAGTAGATTAAATAAATATGCTTGTCAAGTGCCTCTGTCTTCACAAATCCTCTCATATTTCAGACTAGGTTTCAGCTTACTTTGCAAAAAACCAACAACCCACCAACCTCTGCTTACTTTAAAGTCATTGCTCTTCTAGTGAGAAGTGTTTAACAGGATGGCATTCATATGCAGAGAAAGCAGGTTTTAAACGATGTCACTGTTTCATCACCTACATGTTGGTGTTTGACATGTGTTCTGGAGAGGTGAGAATGCCTGAATGCAGTTTTGCATCAGCTTGTAATGCATTGTACATTCTTTAGTCATCCAGGTGTCAGTTTTAGAAATTGATTATGACGATCTATGATAATTCACATAATTTTAATCCATCTTAATTTTTCTGACCAGAAACTTTAAAAATGAATGTTTTTGTTTGGTGGTGGTGGTATGAGAAGTGCTTTTCCGTCTGGAAATAACTGTAATGTCCATTGACTTGTTGAAGTGTATTTAGTATGGCAATACAGTGCATTTTGTGTCCATAGGAGTCACTAGGAATTTTAGTGTACTACCTTGATAGACCTGGATACTAACTTGAAATTCATTTAAAAAAACCAACAATGTGGCACGTTAGAGACTAACAAATTTATTTGGGCATAAGCTTCTGTGGGCTAAACCCCACTTCATCAAATGCATGGAATGAAAAATACAGCAAGCAGAATATATATTATAGCACATGAGAAGATGGGAGTTGCCTTACCAAGTGGGGGGTCAGTGCTAACGAACCAATTCAATTAAGGTGGAAGTGGCCTATTCTCAACAGTTGACAAGAAGGTGTGAGTATCAGCAGAGGGAAAATTAATTTTTGTAGTGCCCCATCCACTCCCAGTCTTTATTCAGGCCTAATTTGATGATGTCCAGTTTACAAATTAATTCCAGTTCTGCAGTTTCTTGTTGAAGTCTGTTTTTGAAGTTTTTTTGTTGAAGAATTGCCACTTTCAAGTCTGTTATTGAGTGGAGTGAAGTGTTCAGGGAGATTGAAGTGTTCCCCTATGGGTTTTTGAATGTTACAATTCTTGATGTCTGATTTGTGTCCATTTATTCTTTTGCGTGGAGACTGTCCAATTTGGCCAATGTACATGGCAGAGGGGCATTGCTGGCACATGATGGCGTATATCATATTAGTAGATGTGCAGGTGAATGAGCCCTTGATGGTGTGGCTGATGTGATTAGGTCCTATGATGGTGTCCCTTGAATAGATATGCAGACAGAGCTGGCAACAGGGTTTGTTGCAGGGATTGGTTCCTGGGTCAGTGTTTTTGTTGTGTGGTGTGTAGTTGCTGGTGAGTATTTGGTTCAGTATGGGGGGGCTGTCTGTAAGCGAGGACTGGCCTGTCTCCCAAGGTCTGTGAAAGTGAGGGATCATCCTTCAGGATAGGTTGTAGATCCTTGATGATGCGCTGGAGAGGTTTTAGTTGCGGGCTGTAGGTGATGGCTAGTGTTACTTTCTTTTTTGGGCCTGTCTTATAGTAGGTGACTTCTGGGTACCCTTCTGGTTCTGTAAATCTGTTTCTTCACTTCACCAGGTGGGTATTGTAGTTTTAAGAATGCTTGATAAATATCCTGTAGGTGTTTGTCTCTGTCTGAGGGATTGGAGCAAATGCAGTTGTATCTTAGAGCTTGGCTGTAGACAATGGATCGTGTGATGTGGTCTGGATGAAAGCTGGAGGCATGTAGGTAAGTATAGCAGTCAGTAGGTTTCCAGTATAGGGTGGTGTTTATGTGACCATCGCTTATTTGCACTGTAATGTCCAGGAAGTGGATCTCTTGTGTGGACTGGTCCAAGCTAAGGTTGATGGTAGGGTGTAAATTGTTGAAATCCTAGTGGAATTCCTCAAGGGCCTCCTTCCCATGTGTCCAGATGATGAAGATGTCATCAATGTAGTGCAAATAGAGTAGGGGCGCTAGGGTAACAAGAGCTGAGGAAGCGTTGTTATAAGTCAGCCATAAAAATGTTGGCATACTGTGGGACCATGCGGGTACCCCATAGCAGGCTACTTCCACCTTAATTGAATTGGCTCGTTAGCACTGACCCCCCACTTGGTAAGGCAACTCCCATCTTTTCATGTGCTATAATATATATTCTGCTTACTGTATTTTTCACTCCATTCATCTGATGAAGTGGGTTTTAGCTCATGAAAGCTTATGCCCAAATAAATTTGTTAGTCTCTAAGGTGCCACAAGAACTCCTCGTTGTTTTTGCGGATACAGAGTAACACGGCTACCACTCTGAAACTTGAAATTCATTGTAATTCACTCTCTTTCTACAGGCAGAGTGAAGAGCTGCTTAAAGACAAAGATGTTGGCTGTTTTCTTATCAGATTAAGTGACAGAACAATTGGTTACATTCTGTCATATAGGTAAGACTGAACTTTACACGGAACAGAAAGCTGCTGCCATTTAGTTGAGAAATGTCACCATTTGTAATTTGCTCTTCTTTTTACATACTTTGATTCATGCATCCTTTACACCTTTGAGTTTGCTTCCTGACCTGTTCAGGTGATTAGTTTATGCCTTGAGGCATGAGGAATGAGAATCTCTCTTACACTTTCTCCCCTAGCTAAATATCCCAAAAGAATAAAGAGGTCAGTAATCTACACAATGGCACGAAGTGTCATATTTACAGCTATTGGGAAACCAAGAAGAAATATATTACCAAAGCCTATGGTAATGATTTTATCTTTTGGATTTTTTTAATTCACTAAGAGCCCAGTCCTGGAGTTCTCACCCCATTAAATAAGTAGAGATTTCGAGACTGGGCCCTATATAGGACTAAATAAGAAAGGCCTATTTTAAATTGATCATTCTAGTAAAGAAGGGATCATGAAACCCAATTATCAGAGAGGATCTGCAATCTGATCAGTATAGGACATGGGGAGAGGCACATGCAAAACACTTCTGCTGGCCTTTGTAGTTGTTAGATATTGTGTGTGCAGTAGCAGCAGCATGACTCTTTGTGGTCAAATGCAAAACTGTTTTACGCTTCAACCAGCACGTCATGGGAGTTTCTCCTTTCCTTTTCTCACACTGACACCCTACCTCAGAACTCAGACAACACCTCCTCTTCCTCATTAGACTCACCATGAATTCACGCTGCTTTTCAGCTAACAGGTTGGTGTTAAACCTCATACTGCTGTTTACCAAAAGGTGTTGGTACTTAGCTCAATAGCTGGTCACTGGTGATGGTTTTTTCCTAGGTTTGCTGCTGATGAAATAGATTTTCAGTCAAGTTCATGTAGGGTGACCAGATGTCCCGATATTATCGGGACAGTCCCGATTTTAGGGGACTTGTCCCACATCCTGACCTTACATTGGTCGGGATGTCTGGTCACCCTATATGAGGGGGACCACGGCAAGCCGGTGCCGCCGGCGCCACTCACCTTTCCTCCCTGGGCCCTGGGGCAGCGCGCAGCTGAGCTCCCGGCACAGCGGCGCCAGCCCACGGGGCCCGCCACCCAGCCGGCAGAGCGCAGCCCTGCCCCTGTCCCAGGCACACAGAGAGGCAGCGAGGAGGTCTCGCTCCCCTGTGTGCTGCAGCGGGGCGGGGCTTGTAGACTCCGGCAGCGGGCAGTGGGCGCCGGGCAGAGAGTGCCCCTGCCCCCCGCCCTCCTCCCCTCGACCCGACCCTACCCTAGGAAGGAGCCAGAGTGACTAGGAGGTAGACAATAGGTGGACCATGGGCCAAATCCAAACTGCCAGAGGCTTTTGACCGGACCATGAAACTCTGGGGGGCTGTGGGCAGTTAGTGTGGGTGGGGCTAGTGCGGGTAGAGGAGTGACTGGCTGCATGCTGGCAGGCTTGGGGCAGGTGGCGCCTGGGCTGACATGTAACTCAGGGTGCAGGAGCCCTTCCCGCTAATCTCCCTAAATGGAGCTCTACCCCGGCAGGGCTGACAGCGGGAGCCCTGTCAGATGCTCCAGGCTGATTCGTAACTCAGGGAGGGTAGGTATTCCCCCCCCCCGCCCCCGATCATCTCACCCTGCATGTGGAAATCTGTCCCGGATTCCAGGCTGTCGTTAGCCCTTGGGGCAAAAGCTCAGCAGAGATTTCCAGAGGGAAGTTTGTAGCCTTTGCTCAGATCCAAACATTTTCACTTAAATAAATAAATAAATACGCAAACCCATCCTGACACCCATCTGCTCTGTCCAGATTTGCTGTTATCCCTGTTGAGGCCAAAGTGGTTTGAAAAATTAAAAATCCTTGACACCATTGTGTTGCTTCCCTCTGTGTTGCTCGTTAATCTGATGGACCTGCCAATAATGAATAAAGATGAATGCCCTGGGAGCAATGTGTCAGGCAGACAGTTTGTCAAGTAGGAAAGTGAATGCCTCACAAAATGCAAACGCTTTTCTTAACCTGAGAACTGAAAAAGAGCCAGATACCCTGCATGGGTTTGAAAGTGACAAGAGCCTAGCAACTGACCAGAGCAGCACCAGGTTTGAAGTGATAAGGAGGATCTGTGTCATAAAGTCTGCATTTCCACTGAGGACTCTTCCATCGCCAGGGTAGCGCTGGTGCAGGTCTGCCGCCCGGCACAGCAATGCTGAGAGGTGCCAGTGTAGACCCAACCCACTGCCTTCAGCTCCCACCCTGACCCTGTTCCCTCAGCCTCCCCCGCAGACCCCCCTGTACCTCCCACCCCGAACCCACTGCCCTCAGTCCCTGCCCCTGTTCCAACAGCCTCCCCCACAGTCCCCCTGCTCCCCCCCAACCCACTGCCCTCAGCCTTGCCCTACCCCAAATCTCTTCTTCAGCCTCTCCCGTCATCCCACCCCCATCGCTCCCCCTGCTGTCCCACCCCCTCAATTTCCCCCCATTCCAGTCCTGCTCCCCTCTGTCTCATCTCCTCCAGACCCTGCTCAACAATATCAATGGAATCAGCATTGCGCTGCTATATATTGTAAAACATTACAGTGAAATCTTGCAAGTATTACATAGCACGCCACCTTGCCCAAGTGGTAACTAAGCATAACATCTTCCTGTTTCAACATTCTTAACTTGTATCCCATAGCTCCTAGAAGTTGTTTTTTTTTTCAAACACTGAATGCTGCTAAGTTATGAGTTTTAACAGGTTTTTTTTCTTGTAAACCACAACACTGAATGTTATTCTAAAATTGTTTTCCAAATATTCTTAAACTCCCAGTTTATCCCCCACTGACGTTCATTGTGAAATGTATTGCAGGTCAAATAATATTTTCTACTTTTGTAATTCACTGTCCAACATGTGTTTTGTGCCCTCCTCTGGTGGATTTTTAGAGGATAACTGTATAGCTACCAGCTAAGGGAGTTATATCTTGAACTCAAGTAGTAGATGCTCATGCTTTTAAGTCTGGATGGCTCAGGTTCAGTCTTTGGTGACTAGCTATGATGGAGGTTGCTACACTTATAATCCCTTTAATTAGAGGTTCTGAATATGCTTTGTTGTAGGCAGAGCTAGCCTATAGTTAAGCAACCGAAAATTTAAAATTGGAAGTGTTGAAATGTTGGGAAGCCTTATAATTTTGCCAGTCTGGAACGAACATCCCATCTGAGGGATGGGGGCGGGGAGAGAGGAGAGTGAGACAGGACCAGGAAACTGGGACAAGGAATCCAGAGCAGTAGTGGGGGGCAGTTGAAATCAGATGTGGAGCTGGGGCAGGTTAGACAGCAATAGGATAGACATAGACTGGAGGGGACGGGGAAGAAGGGACTTTGACTACTAGAGACCACTCCATTCAGGAGCCTGGAATAGACCCAGGATTCCTGAGTTTCACAGTTCCTCTTCTGTCAGCAGATATCTGTGAAACCCAGTGGCAAAAAAAGTGTCTTATCCCCCTA